CTCTTTACAGTTTAAGACTGTAAATCTCTATGAGGGGCAGGAACTAAGTCTTATCTGAACTGCATTTCCCCCAGCATCTAACACAATATTTTGTACACAGAAGGTGTTTAATAACTATTTGCTGATTTGAACTAAATGGAAAGTATTTCAAAAAAAGTTGTATATAATTTAAATTTAAAATTTCCCAAGAGGTAAAGAAATTTAACAAATTTGCAATCTGATGTCCAAATTCTCCAAAGAATATCATAATACAAAAATAATACTATAGGGGCAGCTAGATGGTGCAGTGGATAGAGCACTAGCCCTGGATTCAGGAGGACCTGAGTTCAAATCCAGCCTCAGACACATAACACTTACTAGCTTTGTGAACCTGGGCAAGTCACTTAACCCCATTGCCTAACCAAAAAAAAACAAAAAAAATACTATAAAAATACAGACAAAATACAAATACTATAGAAGTGACTTCAAAATTTTGCTTCCAATGGAATATTTGCATGGAGAAATATGGGAGATGGCAAAGATAACATGGAAGCACTAGCCCAGGAAAACTGAAAGCAGCTTTTTCACGTGAGTGATACTATTGGTTATTTCTAGAACCCTAATCCTCTCATAGTAGGACCATGGTAAGGGGTAAAGTTCCTCCTCTCTATGTCCACCTTGTCAACTGTCACAGTTATCTGATTCTTAGTCTGCCCTAACATCCAGCTTCAGGATTCACATTCTCATTTCCTATTCCAGTGTGAAATGAAACTTTGAATGTAACATTTCTTATCACTGAAAGTGGGAGGAGAGGCCAGGTACCTTAAGTTGTACCTTTGTCTTTGCAATGACAAACCATATAGTCTTAGACCTGTCCTGAATTTCTCTTACTTCTCAACTACTAAAAAACCCTACAACATAAGGTGTCTAGGTGTGGTGAGTTCATTCATAATTAACTTTAGCACTTTGACATTCTTGGTGGAGAGCCTTATGTCATTCATTACTATGTCATTGATGGAATTGTCATTGGGGAGGGAAATAGCTAGAGAAATTACATCATTAAAGCAAAAACAAGAGTTTTGTGGTTTTAAAAGAATTGTCTTGAGACAGCTAGGTGGTGCAATAGATAGAGCATTGGGACTGGAGTCAGGAAGAACTGAGTTCAAATCAGGCCTCAAAGACTTACTAGTTGTGTGACCTTAGGCAAGTCACTTAACCTCTGTCTGCCTCAATTTCCTCAACTGTAAAATGAAGATAATAACAGCAACTCACTCCCAGGGTTGTTATGAGGATCAAATAAGATGATATTTGTAAAGTTCTTAGCACAGTGACCAGCATATATTAGGTACTTTAAAATACTACATATTAATATTATTATGATGATGCTCTGGATAACTACTAACATTTTAGAACATTATAGTTAGATTGGTCTTCCTTTTTCAAATGCCCTTTTACCCTTTATGCTGTTTGTTCTAATTCTGGAAGGGCCCTTAGAGATCATCTCATGCACTAGTTCTCAAAGCATGGCCTGGAGACTCCTTTCAGTCAAAACTATTTTCATAATATTGCTAAGCAGTGTTAATTCTGAATATGATAAATATTGGTAGATATAACCCACACAAGAAAAAGCTCTTTTTTTCAGTGTATAAAGAGTATAATTTTTCAGAGTATAAAGGGATCTTGAGGCCAAAAAGTTTGAGAACCACTGGTCTCATCCAACCCCATCATTTTATAGAGAACATGGAGGTCAAATGAAGAGAAGTAGCTTGTCTAACATTACAAAAGCAGTGAGTAGAAGAGCTGGGATTTGAGCACCTTGGTCTTTCAACTCCAAATCCAGGGCTCCTTCTACTGCCCTACTCTGCCCATGGTATTACAGGATAATGAAACAGAAGAAGCATTTTTCACATTCAGTTTATATGATTAGTGAGACTTTCTGGTCCACATGAACTTTCAAGTTCAGGATTCAAAGACTTCAGCAGGAGTAGTTTCCTAAAATTTAAAGACAACTGCTAATGGTAATTTTAATGCAACTGATCCTCATTTGCTTAACGCCTATCTTTGCATCACATCATTTTATAAAGAAAAACTCTATTTAGGGGCAGCTAGGGGGTGCAATGGATAGAGCTTGGGCCTTGGAGTCAGGAGGACCTGAGTTCAAATCCGGCCTCAGACACTTGACACTTACTAGCTCTGTGACCCTGCGCTGTGTGACCCTGCGCTGTGTGACCCTGTGTGACTCTGATTGCCTCACCAAAAAAAGAAAAGAAAAACTCTGTTTAGCACCAGATGATTGAGTATATCATTTCCAAATCCTGAGCAAAAATACATTTTATAAATCTGAAATATGTTTCTCCTTTTTTTTTTTGTCCCAGACTTGTGATTTCATAGACTAAGGAACTCCTAGTAAGGAACTTCCTTTACCAATGCAAATTGGAATCCTCTCCAAAATTTATAGTTAGGACATATGATTTCATGAATGTATGGAATTCCTAGGATAGAAGCTTCTTCCTGATAGGCAGCATGTCTGGGTCTTTTAGTCTTAGAGGTTAAGAGACCTGCCCAGGGTCACAGAGCCAATATGTGTCAGACCTGAGATCTTCTTGACTCTGAAGCCAGCTCTCTATTTAGTATACTATGCTGTCTATTTAATATACTGTGCTGTTTCTTAGACATTTCTATTTAACCCAACTTAATTACATTTCTCCTGCTAAAAGGTACTTTTTTTATTAAGTTTTTACTCAAAGTAAGTACAGTATGTTAACCCTAGTTTCTCTTTTGTCATTATCTATAATATTAAAGTTTTTTTCTCCTGAGTTCTTTTGACTATAAAGCCATGCCAGTATTTGGGAACATTACCTCCAATTATTTAAAAATGTAAAACGCAAAACCCCTTTGGTTCAGTGGTTTGAAGACTTCAGCAGACATTATCTTTTCCCTGGAAAAGGAAAAGGAGAACAACTCGAAAATTCCTGTTCCCACTCTGCATACCTCAAGTCATTTTTGGTTTTCCACTTGAAATTCACCTCAAAAGCTCTGGTTACTCATTCATGATGAAGTAAGAAATTTGGGAGATAAAGAAAAAGCAGAGAGTTTGAATTATCTCAAGCAGTAATTCGTAACCTAGGGTCTTTAAAGTTGTTTTAAAAATAGTTTTATATTTCAAAGTGGTTTTCTTTTGTAACCCTATATAATTTGTGCATTTAAAAACATTCTAAAGGGCAGCTAGGTGGCTCAGTGGATAGAGCTTTGGCCTTGGAGTCAGGAGGATCTGAGTTTAAACCCAGCCTCAGACACATAACACTCACTAGCTGTGTGACTCTGGGCAAGTCACTTACCCCCAATTGCCTCACCAAAAAAACAAACAAAAGAAACATTCTGAAAAGAGGCCCATAGTCACCAGGCTGCCAAAAGGGTTCATAACACAAAATTGGTTAAGAACCCTAATTTAAAATACAGTTGATTGCTTGAACTCAAACGTCAGGATGCTTAGGTAGAAGCAGCTTTTGACTCCCACACTTCCAAAGGTGATTTTGACCCCCTCCATTACAATTAATGAGCACCTCTCTTCATTAGTCTACTGACACAAAACAAAACTCAAAGAGAAAAAAATGTGAGTAAAGGGCATTTCTCTCACGAAAATAATCTTATACACAAACATATCTAGCATCCATGTATGATTGCCTTGTGGTGTTAGACTGGAAGCCATATGAAAGTAGGAATCATGCCAAGAGTACCTTGGGTGCTCAATGAATGGGTTTACTAGCACATTTTACTCCTGCCATATTTTAGCTGGAGAGGTGCTAGCAGCCTGAGCTCTGTACACACTCCACCACTTTACGTTTCCATTCCATGGAATGTCCTGGGGACCATATTCTGGGGGGCAAGGCCTTTCAGATACATATACAGAGTACATAAAAAGGGACAAGAAAGTATGTAGCCAAGCTGCAAAGGGGAAATGGTGCCAAAGCGTATGTAGCGTTAAACACGAAACTGTCTTTTGCTTGTTTTATTCACACCAGATGCTACTTTTTTTTCCCACTTAAGTTGTCCAGAGCTCAGTTATTTTTAACAAGGGAGCAACTGCTTTCTTTTTTGGGTCTCTCAGGAAGAGAAATTTCAGTCACAGGGAAGACATCACTTCCGGATCAGTGAGCCTGAATGGGGAAAAGCTGCAGAAGACCTAGACTGCAGATTCTCATGCTGACCTCATCACACGTGACAAGCCCAGACCAAGGAAAAAGAGAATGATGTTTGTGAGCAACACGAGAGAGAACCATTTATTTTCTAGTTTGCTTAGGAAGTTGCTTAAAGAAGAGTTTGTTCTAGAAGATCTAGTGTGATTAAAAACACAGGCTGGAAATGTTAAACACAGTGTCATTTGGCTGCATCCTGAGTGCACAAAATTACGGAATTTTTTTCCCCATCATAGAAACATCTCCAGCAATAATACAAAAGCATCATCACACCAAGAAGGGATCAATAAATCTTTGGAGAGCATTCAATTTGCTTGTGTGCAATTCATAAAAATACAAATCTAAATGGGTGAAGCCAATGGTGGTGATGGAAGAAATTTACAATCAATAGGAGACATTTCTGAAGATAGCCATTGACGTTAGCTTTGTTGAAATAACAGAGCAGAGAGCATTAGTTTTGCAGTACAAATAAAATACACAGTTGTCCGGGAGATAATTGGTTTCTTTGGAGGTTTGAGTGGGGCAAATTATATTTAATTGCCACAATAAAATGGGTTTGGATCAGCTAATTTAAAAGAAGAATATTCTCACAGGACAAAAATGTATTTCACACAGCAATTAGGAAGTTGGAAAATCCTTGAAATTGGGCTGTGGGGTTGTGCTTGCTAGTGGCCAATTATGCGTGGACCTCTTTGCTAGCTGAAAACTACACACATATATTATTACATAAATAAAAACTCATTTAGCCTGCACTATGAAAACTAAGGGGTTACCCACAGGACTTGGAAAGAGTCTCTACAGAAAGGGAAAGTGGCAGAAACTGCTTTACTTTTCTTCTGTGGATATGCGGTATAGTGCTTCGCCCAAATTCTCAAGCTTCTCTTTGTGTTCCAGGTCCTGGTACAAGCCTTTGGGAATATTGTTCAGGCCGTAGAGCAAGCCATATATACATCCAGCAATAGACCCAGTAGCTGCGCTCTCACCTGAAACAGGAAACAAGAGAGTGCTTAGCCTTAGAAAATCCCAAGGTTGGGAAATTAGAGCTCATTGTTTCCTACTTCCCCCTCATTTTTTACAGATAAGGAAACAGATCTGTCTGTCAATTACTCAACAAACATTTATTAAGCACTTATTAAGTGTCAGTTACTGCACTAGGTGGAAAAAATACGTAGACTAAAATGAGAGAGTCTCTGCCCTTGAGAAAGACCAAATGTACACAGATAGGTATAAACAAAGTAAGTAAATATAAATTTTGAGGGGAGGCATTAGCCACTGCAGGGCAGCTAGGTGCTCAGTGGATAGAGCACAGGGCCTGGAGTCAGGAAGACCTGAGTTCATATCTGAACCCAGACACTTACTAGCTGTGTGACCCCGGACAAGTCACTTAACCTCTGTTTGCCTTTATCCATTGAACAGGGATATGGCAAACCATGCCAGTATCTTCGCCAAGAAAACCTCATGGAGAGTATGGTCTATGGGGGTAATGAAGAGTTAGACACAACAGAATGCCTGAACAACAAATTAGCTGCTAGGAGTATCAGGAAGAACTAACTTGCAATGGGAAGGATCTCCCAACTTGAAGCCTTTGATATGGCTCGCCTTGGCTTGGTAGATTACCAAATAGAATTACAACACAGGGCAGTCCTCTGTCAGGATTGTGAAATGGGCAACGTTTAGCCACCCTTTTTCTAGCCTTAACCTATTTGCCTTCAGATGTCTAGTGCCCTCACCTCATTAATACCTACTATCCGTGTATGATCTACTACCAATTTGGACAATTTAGTGTATCCTTAAGGCAGTGCATTTCTTCTTCCGGGAAATTTTCATTTATCATTTGATCTTTAGAGCGTCTTCTTAAAAGAATCATTATGAGTGTGTGGGTCCTGTTACAGCAGGTGTGTGATGGCGCACCAACATATTTGCCCTAAGAGTAACATTAGAAGTGTGGGATCAGGCTGAGTTAAACCAGTGCTTGTATTGTGTTTCCTTCTTGGGAATAAACTCTTCTTTCAGGCTCTCCAAGCTCCTTTGGATTCCATCTGGCAATATTTGCCATATTTGGGAATGTGCCAAATTTAGCCTCTTACTCCCATATCTCTTATCCCTTTTCATCTCTTTTGACTACTGTCAACACCTCCTTCTGATCGTCCTCCACTTGAACTGCCGAAGGCTCCTTCTGTTCTCCAGCTAAATTTCTCTTGTGGACAACTAGGGAGACATACCTACTGAGATTATCCACCTTTTCTATTCCTATAAAAACACCCTCCAATCTCAAAATCTTTCACCACCTCAGCTTCCTCTCTTTCAGTTTTCTTATGAGATGATTCCTCTGTGACTCATTTTTTCCTGATCACATTTCCCCCTGCCCCATCCTCCTTCCTACGCCTCGTCTATCTGTCCTCACTCTGCTCACCATAGCTCCCCTCAACTGTTTACTGATATGAGGCAAACGGTCATAGTGGGGAGAGTGTTAGGATTGTAGTCAGGAAGACAAGGGGTTAACTCCTTCCTGCTCCTGACACTTACTAGTTGTGAAGTCCTGGACAAATCATTTAATCTGTCTGAACTTCAGTTTCCTCATCTTTAAAATATACTAATAATAGTATATAATTCCCAGGCTTGTTGTGACACTTAAATGAAAAATATATGCAAATTGCCTTGCAAACTGTAAAGTGATATATAAATGTCAGTCATTTTGATTGACTGACCCTTTCCAACTCTTGGATTGGTCATAACTCCTCAGAGAACTCCTCCTTTCCCCTTTCTTCCCCCTTCTCCTTTCTTCTGCCCTGTTTTCTCCTCCCCTCTTTCAAAAAAATCCTAACAACCTGCCTCTATTAACCAGTTTTGAAACCTCTAATGATGAGGCATTTTGTAACTTCACATCATAGCTAGGATTCCTATCCAGGTCTCAGAAATTCTATGTTGTTTGTTGTTGCTGTTTAGGTGATTAGTCATGTCCAACTCTTGGTGAACCTGTTTGGGGTTTTCTTGGTAAAGATACTAGAGTGGTTTTCCATTTCCTTCTCCAGCTCATTTCATAGATGAGGGACTGAGGCAAACAGGGTTAAGTGACTTGCCCAGGGTCACACAGCCAGAAAGTGTCTGAGGCCGTGTTTGGAATCAGGAATACTTATCTTCCTGAGTTATCCTTCCCTGTTATATGGCAATAGACCAGATGTCTAAAGCATAGTGTTAAAGGGGAGGTCTGTCATAATTTCCCTCTTCCCCTAAGGGAAGCATGATGTAATATTGATTGCACCTGTGTTGATTATAACATTAAGTAAAACAATCTCTTCTAACTTCAGAGAATCAGAACATCTTTGAATTATAGAAGGCAATTCAAAGGTCATAATATAACCTTTTCCTTACATATGCACACCATATGTAGAGACAAAAGTCAATTAATAACATAATCGTTGACACTGCAGAAACTGAGATATCGACCTGGTCAACCCAGCTGAATAAATCCTGCCTTAGTTCTGGGCCAACACTGATGAAGAATTCCCACCTGCTCCAACACACTACATTTGATTTTTTTCCTCCCACTTGAACTGAGGAGAAGAGGTCAGGATGAGGCTGTATAAGAAAACATGCTTGCCACTGGTGTTTCTGAGTGTTTGAAACCAACAATAACAAAAAACGAAGAATAAGGAATGGGACGTAATGATTTACATTGCTCCAAACTGTCTGCTTATTTTGGGAGAATGTGCCACTTAAACCGCACTAGATGTCTATTAATTTAAACAAAGAGAGGTATGGATGCTACAGATGTGAAGAAATGTCACATGAAGTTTCAGATGAGTTCACCATATTATTAGCTTTAATTAATTAAACTTTTATTTTACTACAAGAGACCTGTCTTAGGAGGTGAGAGTAATCTGTAAATTTCTGTAATGTATAAAAAAAATCATATCAATAAAATTTTTTTAAACTTAAAAAAGAGGGGCAGCTAGGTGGTGCAGTGGATAGAGTACTGGCCCTGGAGTCAGGAGGACCTGAGTTCAAATCCAGCCTCAGACCCATAATACTTTCTAGCTGTGTGACTCTGGGCAAGTCACTTAACCCCAATTGCCTCACTAAAAAAAAAAGAAGAAAAAAAAACTTAAAAAAGAAATACAGTTATACATGTATGTATATATGCATGCTTTGTGTATATTGACTATATACAGGTGTATATGTATGTGTATATGTGTGTACATGTGTACATATGTCAGGGTGTGCATGTGTGTATGTGTGTGTATACATATACATGTACATATATATATTCCTGCTGGAGGGAGACTTTGGAAAGAGGCACTGGCCATTCCGAAGATCAGTACCTCAAAAATCATAGAATGTCACAATTACCAAAACCCCCAAATGTAAAGAAGAAGAAACTGACCTCCATGAAACATGGCCCGGTTACAGAGCTCTGCCCAGTTGTCCCCTGCTCCCAGAAGAGCGTCATATGCAATCATTGGTGCATCATGGCCCCTTCTTCCACCTCGACCTTCTGAACTCCATTTTCTGTAAGTCTGATGAAGTGACCAAGGTCAGTTATTTGAGCTTTAGAAAATCATTGAAAAGGTTTAACTGTTTTATGCTAGGTTGTTATTGTTGTTGTTGTTGTCTTAGCTCCAAATGTTAACTTGGGGTATTTAGAAAGTCTTAGCTGGGCATATCCATAGTGTTTGACTCACGATCATTCGAATAACTGAGGAAAACTAGACTGGTAAAAACAAAGTTGATGATGACATCACTTTTTAATAAATAACAAAATTGATTTGGTTTCATTTGGCGCATTCATGAAATGGCATCACATCAGTGCTATCTTGATAGGGAAAAGGACTGGACCAGTATTTTCACTGATAATAAGGAATTCATAGCAAGGAAATTCTCTCTATCAATGCAAGATGGAACCTTTTTCTACAATTTAGGGAGCTGCCCAGAGCACTGAAAAGTTAAGTGACTTTCCCAGAGTCACCAAGACAATAAATGTCAGAGACAGAAGTTAGACCTAGGCCATCCTGGCTTTGAGGCCAATTCTCTATCTTCTTCTATACCACTTGCCATACTGCCTTTCACATTAATAGCCACTCCTAATTTTATACCTTTATTCCAAAGAATTCTTAATTCTCCCCCAACTCAGATATACCATCTTTTTATCCTCATAGTATTTCTTACGTGGTACATAAGAGTAACATACCCAACATACACATGGAAGCCTTAAGGGCAGGGCTGTATTTGAGAATTTTTTCACCTCGGGCAAGTACCAATAATTGTGTCCTGGGGAAAGCAGTAGGAAACAAGACCTCAGTTAAGAGGTAGTTAGTGTTGATTAGGGCAATGTAGGAAAGGAGCTCTCCCTAACCCATCATCCAGTAGCTTCCTCTTTTACCTAATTGTTCTTACTAAGTAGGTGCTAAGCTGGTTGTCTCTGCACAGTTGAAGGACTGCAAATATTATCAGCACTTGCTAAATTTAGTACCCCGGGGCAAAGCACTCAGCCCCCCTGTCCAGAGTTATGGCTCTCACCAAAGGGCAGACAAGGTAATAGATGAGGGTATTGAAAGAAGCTAGGACTAAAATTCAAGCTTTCTGACTTACCAGTGTGGTGCAATGCTCATACCAGACAATTTATAATTTTCTGGATGACTAACTGAGCAATCTAAACCTGTAGTTATTGTTCCAATTTGAGAGACAGAGAGAAAGAGAGTGAAGGGAGGAAGAGAGAGAGGAAGGGAGGAAGGGAGGGAGGAAGGAAGGAAGGAAGAGAAGGAGGGAAGAAAGGAAAGAAGGAAAGAAGAGTAACTAGAGAGACGCCCGAGAATTCTGCCTTGTATTCCAGTACTGTGGATAGTATAATCACACTTAGAGTTTGTATATCCAGGAATATTCCAATTTTGTTTTGGAAATAATTTATATTGAATAAGATTATATGAAAACCATAGGCAGAAACAAACGTTTAAAGTGTGTATTTAAAATATTTGACTTCCTAAAGTGTTTTTATGAAAGTACAAACAGCCAGTATTCTCATTCTTTAATCTTTTACCCAGGCTAACAATCTACTCCCTGAAAACCACAAAGTGAGCCTTCAGGAACCCCCTACAGAACGCAATGAAGACAGTTAATATTCTGAAATTTTTCTGAAGGAAAATCATCAAGTTTACCTTATCTCTCTCCTCTGCATCATAATGATCAGGAAAAGTGGGTTTATTATCTTGGTCTTCAGCAATTTTTCTCTCCTCCAAATAAAACTGCCACTTGGCTTCAAAGTAAAACCAGTGTTCTTGGTATTCTAAATATAAAGGAAATCAACAGTGATATTCAGTCTTGGCAGAGGAGTCCTTAAAATACTCATTCTGGTTAAAGGCACCCTGAAAATAGTTTTTTTGTGGTATCTTTGGTTCTTATATATTATATACCTCATTGTACAATAATTTGCCAAATCTCATTGATTCAGACTTTGCAATCCCTCTTGTCTCCATCCCTTCCCCTCCAGACCCAGCAAGAACACTCTAGTGTAGACATTAATTACCGCCTGATTGGATTATTACAATAGCTTCTGAACTGGTCTTCTAGCTTCAGGATTCTGGCTCAGCATCATTAAAAAGTGAGGAGGAGAGTAAAAACACTTACCGCTTTTTTTTTTTTAATTAATGCCTTTTGGTTTTAATATCAGATTCATTTTCAAATATATCCTCTTCCCTCTCCTCCACAGTGAACTAAGCCCTTTCTTCAAACAAATATTTTAAAAGAAAAAATAAAAACAATTTAACAAAACCAATAAATGTATAGACCACAATGAACATTATATAAAATATGAAATTTCACACCCAAAGTCTCCTACCTCTGCAAGGCAAGAAGTACATTTTCTCAACTATTCTCAACATCTAAGATAGGGCATACTTATATACTATCTTCTCACTTTCTCTCTTCATCCCCACCCCCTACCACAGTCCTCAGGATTCACCAAGGTCCATCCCTTCACCAACACTTAGCTATCGCTGCCATTTCCCCCATTCACCTCCCTCATTCCCCACCCCAAACTTTATTTCAGTTATAGTACTTAACCCATTCCCAGTTCTTTAGTCTCAGTTCTTCAGTCTCTATCTTTCAACCCTCAGATCCTTATCCCACCTTCTTCTCCAGAGGGAAGGGGCTGACCTACGGAGGGAAGGGGCCCCTCTAAGTCAGCATTTTATACTACTGCTGGATTAACCTTCAATTTTGCATGAGGATGAATCTCTTTACTCTACTCAAAACCTTTAATAACTTCTTATTGCCTTCTGGTTACTATCCAAATTTCTTAATCTGGCATTCAGGGTCTACCACAATCTGGTCTCACCATACCCTTCCAGCCTTAAGTCACTCTTTCTCTTCACTTATGCCCCAGGACACAGGATCATCTGTAAGGCTCTTTGCCAGGGGTCAGCAAACTACTGCCCAAGGGCCAAGTCTAGCTTTTTCCTAATTTTGTACAGCCCCGGCTAAGAATGGCTTTTACCTTTTAAAATATAATAAAATCTTATTTTAAGATGTAAAAACTATTCTTAGCTGTAGCCATATAAAACAGGATTATGGGAGGGGTATAGTATGCCAACCCCCACAACATTTTCCATTCTTTTGTGTCTTTGCTCATTTTGCTCCCCATTTTTGTAATGCTTTCTTCATCTTCTCTGTTGCCCCCTTCTCTGTCCCATGAAATTCTATCCATCTTTCAAGATCTAGTTCAAAGGCAGTATCCTACAATTCTTGCCAATTGAAAATGATCTTGTCTTCTTTAGTCCTCATATAACCTTGTTTATGCCTCTCACACACTCATGTTCCATTTTATATTATAGTTATTTGTGTATATGTTGTATTTAGGAGATTGTTAGATCCATAAGGCCAGAATAAACCCTAAAATCTGAAATAGTTTAAAAAAGAAATTTAGAAAGGCCACATCTCCTTTCCAGCTCACTCTTCTCTACCAAATGACCTAATAAATTTCTATCTACCCTTTTCTGGCACCAAATACATAATGCTCTGCACATAGTAGACACTTAATAGATGTTTGTTGAAAGGAATGAGGCCATAATTTTGCTTTTCCAATACAATAAAGGCAATTCCCAAGAGATATCATGGTGCAATGAGAGAAAAAAACAAAACACTGGATTTGGAATAAAAAAATAATTTGGAACCAAAAACAATGGGAACATTGGATTTGAATCCTGGCTCTGCTACCTGTCCAAGGTATGTGACCTAGGGCAAAATCCTTAATCTAAGATTCAGTTCCTCATCTGGAATGGTCAGGATATCGAGATTTGTATTAGTTACTTTATAGCATCTGTTATTGGAAGACCTAAATAAGATCACATACATAAAAGCTCTTTGTTGTATAAAATGCTATGTATTATTATTATTACCACCACTATTGATAATGATAGTAATGACCTTACTCTTCTGGCATAGTTTGAACTCTGACTCTGACAGGGTCTATCAAACTGGAACACATCAAATACAGACACAGCAATGGTCTGTTGTCCATGGACCAGTCTAGCTGACTGCAGAGGGGTTTATAACCATAAGATTGGCCATGAAGTGATCAATATTTGATGAATCAATATGGTGGAATTGAGAAAATACTGGTCATAGAATTCAAGGAGACCTGAATTACAATCTTGCCTCTGACATTTGCTAGTTGTATGACTACCACAGACAAGTCACTTCTACAAACTTCAGTTTCCTCACCTGTAAAATGGGGATAATAGTAATTGTGGTAACTCATAGGGCTATCAGGATCAAATGTGATAATATATGTACAGTGCTTGGCAAATCTTAAAGAGCTATGAAAATTTTTAATATTAATAAGAATTTATTTTTCTTAATACTAATATCATCATTGACATTGCCTTCATTTGGTTTCACTATTTCTAGTTCTAGTTGCTAGCTCCTCTATGAAGACTTCTCTATCCCCTCTTTGAGTTGCTATTGTTCTCTCTTCTTCTCCAAATTGCTTTTATTTATCAGGGTCCATGTGATAGTCTCTTAAAAGAATGTAAACTCTTCAAGGGTAGTGATATTTTTCTTTTTGTAGTTGTATCCTGGTACCTTGCATGGTTCCTTGTATGTGCTTAATATACACTGACTGAACTGAATTGAGTATTATTTTGACCACAGCAAGTCCTGAAGACCATGTTTTACTGAGGGCATGAAGGGGTAGTGACCTACATCAATGGAGAATTACCTACACTGAAGAAATTACAAATCTTATAAATAAGTAATAATATTAATAATAATAAATGATGGTACAAATGGTAATTAGACTCCCAGGTTAGGCCACAAAAACTTAAACCATTACACATTGGAAATATATTGCACGAATACTACTACAAATTCTCTGGGAAAATATATTCTGAGCCCCAAACTGCAGTGATAGTCAATAAACTGCCTACTATGTGCCAGACACTGCATGAAACACTGAGGATGCAAAGAAGGCAAGACAGTCCCTGCCCTTGAGGAGTTACCCAGTCACCTTCACATTCCCTTATAGGTCAGTAGGACCTATGATATGATGGAGGAGGGAGCTAGCAGGAGTGGAGAATGAGGATCTAAGAGTAGGTTAAAAATAGCTTGGAATTGGTAGGTAGTAAGGAGCAGGGATTGAGGAGTGAGTGAGGTGGTCGTGGGGCATAGAGCTAGATGTGGGGTGGAGATCTGGGGTGGGGCAGGGATGAGGAGTGAGGAGCTGGGATGAGGAGCCTGAAAGGCAGGGAGAAAGGATGAAGGCTAAGGAGCTTGTGAGGAAGCACTGTAATAAAAGTCTTCCCTTCCTCCCTTCCCATTCCCACCTTGATGTTGCTAGGGAAGATGGGCTAGTGAAGGCATAGGCTGCAGAAAAGTGGCAATCAGTGGTCAGAGAGGCAATCCAATCTTGGGGTATAATAAGGGATAATGATGGTAATATACTAAAAGAACTTATTGCAAATTTGAAATACTAAGGATGTTAGCAGATTGCAGAATCAGTTTCACTGCGGGATTCTCACCACCTCCACACACACCTCCCCATTCCCACCTTTATGTTGCTAGGGAAGATGGGGTAGTGAAGGCATGGGCTGCAGAAAAGTGTTAATTACAAATTGTGGTCAGACAGAGCAGACATTGGCTTCTGACACCTGCTATAGCAAGAAAGACACTAGCTCTAGAGTCTGAGAACTCTGTTTGAAATCCGCAGGAAAGCGTGATTGCAGAATGGGAGGACTCAGGTTGGAATCCTACCTCTGATCCCAAGTTACTTTACCTGCTGAGCCTCAGTTTTTATCTGTAAAATGAGGAGATTGGGCTAAATGACTTGTGAAGTCTCTTCCAGATCCACAGCTATGACAGCTGGAGTTCCTTGGACCCTACTCAACTGGGGCGGTAATTGTATGCCAGAACTATATAGAAATGCTGGGTTAATAAATTCAGAACTACCTGTATATTTTAATGTGGTTTGATTGTATTTGTAAGATGGGATTATTATCAGTCAGTGTCTACTAAAAAAGAAAAGGTGAATAAAACAGGGAGGGAGAAAATGTTATTCCAAAACTGCTTGACTGAACTTTGAAAATAGAAGCATTAACATACCTCTGCTTTAGTTTTGCAACATGGTTTCATCAGTGTAATAGAGATACTAAATGTCAGATTAGTTGAGAATCCCACTAACAGCATGCTTACAAATCAGAGAGATAGGAAGTCTTATTTAGCCTGCTTAACAGTCTAAAACACATTCCCAGAAATGTTTAAGTATCTATTCTAAGGCTCTACCAAACAGGAGTAGAATTACAATGTACCTAATCACTACACGTACTAGCATGTACTTAACCACCATACATAAGTACATTACACCTCCTTAAGAAAATAAAACCAGAGTGTGTGTGTGTGTGTGTGTGTGTGTGTGTGTGTATGTGTGTGTGTAGGGGGTGAGAATCCTGCAGTGAAACTGATTTTCCAATCTGCTAACATCCTTAGCATTTCAAATTTGCATTAAGTTCATTTAGTACACTACCATCATTATCCCTAATTATACCCCAAGATTGGATTGCTCTCTGACCCCATTTTTCAGGTGGAAAGGATGAGAGACAGAGATGTTAAGCCACTTCTTCAAGACCACCCAAAAAATTCACAGAAGACTCAGAATTCAAAGTTACAGTCTCTATTCTCTCATCTGTAAAATGTGGAAAATAGTACTGGTACCTATTGCCAAGGATTGTTGTGAGGATCAAATGAGATAACACATATAAAGAATCATTTTGTAAATCTTAAGGGGTTATATAAATGCTATCTATTATAATAATTATTATATTGTCTAGGTTCATGTAAGTAGTAGGGGCAGCTAGGAGCAACAGTGGATAGAGTGGCCTTAGACACTCGCTGTGTGACCCTGGGTAAGCCACTTAACCCTGTTTGCCTCAGTTTCCTCATCTGTAAAATGAGCTAGAGAAGGAAATGACAAATCACTCCATATCTTTGCCAAGAAAACTCCAAATGGGGTCACAAAGTGTCAGACACAACTGAACAAGGTCATATGAGTAGTATCAGAAGTAAGATATGAACGTAAGGTTCATCTAACTCTAGAGCCTATACACACTTTCCCCTACATCAAACTACCTCCTCCTGGGTCCCACTCAGTGAGGCAAAGTAGAAAGGAAGGAAAAGTGACAGGAAGGACTGATGCCATAGGTCCTGAGCTGCCTCAACTGAATAGAACAGATTTTGGGATGCTTACAAGCTCTTGGTGGAAAAGACTGACAAAAGGAACTAAACCTAAGGCACCTAAACTGTGTCCTTAGAAGTCATTGGCTTGGGACACAGCAACAGATTGGTTAAGGACTTTCAGGGTGTGGGAGAAGTCATTGTTTTAATATATTTGATTTAGTTGCTTTTGCTTCTATGGGCATGAATAAAGAACTGAATCAATTAAACCTAGCTTGTACAATCAACTCCATTACACTATGCTAATTTGATTAAATGGATATTCAGCATCAAGGTAAGAGAGAAAAGTTTTCTTGGCAGATGAGGGCTGAGCCAAGAGACTAATCCAAAATCTATTGTGAAAAACACTGCCACCCACAAAGGGGGTGCAACCAAGAGATAGAAGTAGTTAGTCTCTGAGAAGCAGAGCATCTGGGTGATGGAGCTAGATGGTACAGTGGATAGAATTCCAACCTTAGAGATTGGGAAGACCTGATTTTGAATCCTGTCTCGAATGCTTTGTAGCAGGGTGACCATTGGCAAGACATTTAGTCTCTCTCAATCTCATCTATAAAATAGAGATAATAATAGCATCTACCTCACAGAGCTGTTACAAAGATCAAATGAAGTAATATATGTAAAGTAGTTCATAAGCCTTATGAGCTATATGAGTATCTGCTATTAACCACATTGGGACTTGGTGTTCCCACTGAATGCTCTCTGACATTGAGTGGAATGAAGAACCACATGAGTGAGGTGGAGCTACCAATCCCTGATCCTTATTAACTAATAAGGTCAGGAATCTTGGCAGCTATGCCTTCTGGTGGGTAAAGAGATAAACAGTGGTGAAAGGCATAAGCCACTGTTGGACCAGTGACAAGTTCTTCAGAGTTCCATGGTACATGTAAAAAACTCAGAAATGAAAGACTGATTAGATTTTTTTTTTAAGTAGAGGCCACTTAAGGAAGGAGTCTTGGTACAGTAAAATAAGGCTAAGACAGAGTTGATTCAGAAGTGACAGGATTTACCACGCCAGTGAGCCCAGGTATCAGATCTATCTTCGTTGCATTCAGCCAATAATGCATCTGAGAGCTTGGTAGAAAGTGTCATTTGGATCAGAGAATTATGGGAAGACAGCATTTTGAGCTAAAAAAAAAAAGACTTTGGAGAGGAAGAGAAGGAACTCAATGAATCTTTGTTGAGATACATTGAATTGATTGAAAGGGTGCTTCCTTAGCATTAGAGATAAAAATAGTTTTTTGTTTTTAACTAGTGGGATGATAAGAAACCAAAATACAGCGTTATTTAACAAAAGCCAAAATTCGGACAGAACCTCTGACTTAATTAGCTTTGAGAATAAAAGTACAAAAATTTGTTAATTGTTCATACCTTTTATGGGCATTGACATAAAGAAATAGATATTTAAGAAAAGAACCTAGAATCCCAAGTTCTCTTTCCCCCTCCCTCTCTTCTCTCTCACTCTCTGTTTTCCTGTCTCTTTCCCTTTGTCTCTCCCCCTCTCTCTTCTCCCTTCCCTCCTGTCTTTCTGTCTCTTTTCCTTCATCTTTTCTTCTCTCTCCTTCTCTCCCTCCCTTTCTCTTTCTGTTTTTCTGTCTCTTTCCTTCCATCTTTCCATCTCTCTAATTCCCTCCTCCATCTTTCATTTCTTCCCTCTTTCTCTTTCTAACTCCTCCCTCTTTCTCTCTCTTTTTTCCTCTCTCCTCTCTGTCTCTCTCTCTGTATATGTATACATGATACACAAACATACTTCCTCTGATATTGATATTTAAGCATGTCTCTATATTAATACTATTCGAGACTTCAATACTTAAAAGGTCCAGTGATTTCATCGGAGTGCATATTCACTCCACCAACACATATTGTGACTGTTTATACCTTATGAGCTAGTTTTCATGAGTTGCTGTAATTGGAAAAAATATCATTTGGCTAATCTTATGACAATATGCTTCTCAATACTTAGCTATGGTAGTCCTTGGATAACAGATACCCACTCCATCACTGATTCTGTACTTTAAACCATTCCAATTTGGTAGGACCAGATCTTGTACTTTACTGCCATAGCATTAGAGTACACAGAATCACCTCCATGACATGATGAGGTGTTGAAATTGGGCTTTAATGAAATTTACCCATGACTATTGGAGGGATTAGAAATCACACGATCACAGTACTGAGAAGGACCTCAGAAAATTATCTATGTTCCTGTTTCATGGTAGTATAGAGCCTAAGTCATATGAGAAGGACCATTAAGAGGAAAAAAACACTCAGAAAAAAAATTTTAAATAAACATCAATCCTAATACTCCACCTTAAGTGTGTTGAAATCATATTGATTTCATATCATTGATATCATATTGAAATTTATTAAATAAGAGCCAACCCACAGCTCTTATGGCTATATTGTAGCTGTACGAAGATGTAGCAAACTCATTCAAATATGTTTTTTCCTTAAAAGGCATTGAAACTATCCTTGAAAGATGATTGGATCAGAGGAACTAATGACTCAGGTTATTAACATCACTTCCTGATCACCCACCTACAAAACAGTCCCAAGGCTCTGTCCGATGGTTGGCTGAAGATGGACAACTCAAAGGCAGGAGAACTTTGCTCATCGGAATCAATTTGGGGTATTCTCAACATACATTCTCATTGAATATCCTTTTCCTGCTGTTTGCCAAGCAAATCTGCTTTTGTGAGCTGCCGAATGCCTTGTAGGTATCTCATTTCAATAGATATTTAATATTCAATAGATATCTCAATCCAATGTGGAACATAAACTTCTAGGAGACTAGTCCAAGACTGGCCTAGCCTAGAACAATATGAATCAAGGCTATTACCCTCTCTCCAACAACAATGCACCAGAAAAATAAACCATCCTTACCTGCCATATGTCGAATTGTCTTTTTACAGAATTCTTCAGCCATTGGCACCACCTTCATCATATCTCTCCCCCACTGCACAAGTGGCTTTCCTTGGATGGCATAAGAAACAAAGAGGGCTGTGCATAGGGACCCCAGGAAACCTAGACATTGGGAAGAACAGCAGAAAAGAAAGAACAGAAGAAAGGGTGACACCTTTGTTATCTAATCAGGAAGTCATTACTAACTGGCACCCTCTTTTGGACAGCTCTGAGCTTATGTAACCAAGTCAGCCAACAAACATTTATTAAATGCCTAATATGTGATAGGGGTAGCTAGGTAGTGCAGTGGATAGAGTGTTAGCCCTAATATCAGGGGGACCTGAATTCAAATCCTGTCTCAGACATTTACTGGCTCTGTGACCCTGGGCAAGTCCCTTATCCCTGTTTGCCTCAGTTTCTTCATCTGTAAAATGAGCTGGAGAAGAAAATGGCAAATCACTCCAGTATCTTTGCCAAGAAAATTCCAAAAAGGGTCACAAAGAGTTGGACACAACTAATTCACACACACACACACAAACATACACACGCACACACATACGTGATAGGAGCTGGGAATACAAAGGCAATAGTGAAACAGTCCCTGGCCTCAGGGGGCTTACATTCTCTAGGGAAAACAACATATACACACATAAGTATAAACAAAATATATACAAAGTAGAGACAAGGTTGTTTTGGCAGGGAAGGCATCACTACAAGTGAGGGGACCAGAAAATATTTCATATGGAAGGTGGTGCTTGAGCTACGTCTTGGAGGAAACAAGAGATTCTAAGAAGAGAGAGAATATTCTAGTCATGGAGAATAGCACATAAATGAAGGCTGTCTAAAGAGCCAAGAGGATTTTTCATATTATGGAAAGATGTTCCACGTGTTAGCACTCTTAGATAAATTCAGAACAGACTCTTCCATTACATCCCTATCAGTATTCCCCTCCATATGACTACACTGCAGGCAGACCGGCCTACTTGCTCTCCCATAAATGTTTTGCCTCTAAGCTTCAGCTGCCCCTTACCCTTGAAATGTTCTAAATGTGGAGGGGATACTTGGCCAGATGCAGATCGAACTAGATGCCCTCTAAGCTCCCTGCAAACCCTGAGATTCTATGATACTTTGAAATTCCGCCCATCCCTCAGGGCCCATATCAAATGCCACTGCTATAATGGAACCATCCTTGTTCCTTTTCCCATACCCCATCCATAATGATCCTTCCCCTCTTAGACTTTGTGTTACACTTGGTTTGCATCTCTCACACGTCTCTATATTTTAGTTACCTGTGCATTGAGCCTAACCCCTTATCAAGGTATGAGCTCTGTAAGGGCAAACATCATGCCTTAGATGGCACAGTAGATAGACCAGTGGACTTGAATTCAAATCCAGCCTCAGACACTTACTAGCTATGTAATCCTGGGCAAGTCACTTAACCTCTCTCTACCTCAGTTTTCTTATTTGTAAAATAGGAATAATAATAGTATCTCTCTCCCAGGATTATTGTGAAGATCAAACAAAGTAATAATTAAGTGCTTAGCACAGTGCCTGGCACATAGAAAGCACTATGTAAATGTTGCTATTATTAGTGTTTGACCTCTGTCTCTCCCCCAGTGCCTAGTACATTGCTCTGCACGTGGTAGTTTAGGCACTTAGAAGTCTGTACTATTGGCAAGACAAGAACCATTACTTTTCATATATGCTGCCTTCTGTGCATTGGTTTAAAAAGACAGACCACAATGTATAATTCCTCTATTCAAATTCCAATAAAAAATACGATGCTGAAAAGCCAGTAACTATAAATATATAGAATGATTTGATTCACCTGCATCTGAATTAATGTGCACCGCCATTTGGTTTGGTAAATTAGGTTTTAAGGTATGATGTCATTTTTTTTTTTATATTTTGCCCTGTATGAACCCAACTTGTACTAAATTTATCATCTTTGATTTGTTCTGCTATATTTTCGGACTGGTTCCTGGCCACAAATCAGGAACTTCCCAAATGTTTCCTTGTTAAAATGGGTTTTCTATCCTAGATTCAATGTTCTAGTCTTTTCTTCTTCTAACTTTCTTTGGCTAAATGCTGTCTCACAGTTGGTGGGGTCACTTTTTTTTCTTATATCTGTTGGGATTAAAACTCACATAAATCTGGGAATGTGTGCTTAAGCAAAGCACAGCACATTTACAAAGTATAAATAAGAAATAACAAAAAACAAAATTCCTAGCATTCAAGTCATTTGGATGGAAAAATGTCTTATTATCCATCAGATCTATTCAGAGAGAACAGTAGAATGACTCTAAATAGTAAGAAGACCAGAATTCACACAAATGCTCTTTTAAAAGTGTTATTCTTGATGCGTTGTTTTGATTTTCAGGGAAAGAAAAGGGAAGGTGAATTTTTCAAATTATTGATGGATGAATTTTATTTTGTCTCTTCCAAAATTCTATGGCGCATTATTAAAGGGATAAGTTGTGAGTACTCTGAAAGAGAAGCAGTGATCTCTGTAAGCCAGTCTGGGTTTAGAAAAAAAGTGGCATGCCAGACTAATCTGATTTCCTTTTTAATTAGACTGCTTACTAATTGGGTAGATCAGGGTAATACTATCAGCACAGAGTATCTGGATTTCAGAATAGTAATTGAAAAAGTTTCTAATGGTATCCTTATAGACAAGATGAGGAGATATAGATGGAAATCTACAACTGGTTGAATGATTTGATCCAAAGAGTACTGATTAATGGCTCCTTAGCCTTGAAGGAGATCTGTAGTATGGTTAACTTTAGTTCTGGATGCCACATTTTAGAGAGAACCTTAACAAGCTTTTCATCCTTTGTTTTCCAAGAGGATCAATGACATCATGGAGGGATGTGAACTGGATTTGAATGAGGTAAAGTTTCACAAAGTCATCAGCCTCATTCTCTTTTCCAGATCCATCAAAGTCTAATGGCAAGACAGAAGTCAAGCTAATGACCCCAGAAGGGGTAGATGACCCTGGCATCTTCGAGGCTCTGAGCACTCCACAATGCCTGCTTGAGCCGCCTTCATGGCTGTTGGGACAAACTGTTCTCATCTGCCCATTCTGAGCAGGGAAGTCTTCACATCTTGGGGTACACACCTCCCTAACTCACGAATGCCCTCTAAGGTCCCTTCAAACTTCGAGATTCTATGATACTTTGAAATCCCGCCCATGCCTCAGGGCCCATATCAAATACCACTGCTATAATGGAACCATCCTTGATCCTTTTCCCATACCCCACCCATAATGATCCCTTCCCCTTAGACTTTGTGTTATATTTCGTTTGCATTTCTCACATGTCTCTATATTTTAATTATCTGTGAATTGGCTTGAGGCCCAAAGGTTACCCTCAACTTGGTTTAACTGAGACATCTGCTGAGACAGTTTTACCAGCATTGGCCACTGTGCATGCTACAGCTTCTTGGAGCCACAGGTGAGAGTTGGGTGATAGGCAGATACCAAAGGCGGTTGAACAGCCCTGACAAGCCCTCACACCAGAGGTACTAGTCCTCCTTGAATACCCCATATACCCTATCTTGATAAGCTAAAGAACATCTAAAAGAGAGTGACCAGTATACGTCAAGAACACTCAGAATAATATCATATGAATACTTGCTAAAGAAACTAGGAGGGGCAGCTAGGTGGCACAGTGGATAGAGCACTGGACTTGGAGTCAGGAGGACCAGAGTTCAAATCTAGCCTCAGACACTTGACACTAGCTGTGTGACCCTGGGCAAGTCAATTAACTCTGATTGCCTCACACACACACACAAAATTAAAAATTAAAAAAAAGAAACTAGGAACATTTAAGCTATCAGAGAGAATACTTTAGGAATGAGTAGGTGGAAGGAATGGGCATTTAGGTGGCACAGGGAATAAAACACTAAGCCTAGAGTCAGGAAGACCCGGGTTCAAATCTAGCCCCAGATATTTACTGGGTGACCCTGATCAAGTCACTTAACCCTGTTTACCTCAGTTTCCTCATCTGTAAAATGAGCTGGAGAAGGAAATGACAAACCACTCCTGTATCTTTGCCAAGAAAACTCCAAATGGGATCACAAAGAGTTGGACATGACTCAACAACATCAAGAAGGTGGAAGGAATATTCAATTCATTTATTTGACAGGGCATCATATGAAAGAGGCATTTCAGAAATCAGAGAGTAAGAAGCAGAATCTTTTTAGAACAAACACAAATAAACTTTTTCTGGCATTGAAAGTTCTTTATAATGTGGTCTCAACCACCTTCCCAGCCTTATTATATGTTATTCCCTTTATACATATGCAAATACATACATACATACACACATAAATATTATTCCCTTTCTGTTAGCTAAACTGGGCTTCCTGCTCTTCCTCCTCCAAGGTATTCCATCCCTGTGTGTTTACATTAGCTATTCTCCATGTACATCTTAAAACTCCTAATTTTCTTCCTGGCTCTGCTTAGGCACCGCTTTCTATATGAAGTCTTTCATGTTGTCCATCTCCCCTCCAAGCTGTTATTGCCTTCACGTTATTTTGTATATTATATACCTATATATGTGTATGTTATCTCCTCTAGCCAGATTGTATGATCTCTGAAGGCAAGAGCTGCTTCACTTTTGTTTCCTAGCATGGTACATACAAAGGCTTAATCAACATTTCTTGACTGATTGATTGACTCGTTTTATTTTGTCCCTGATAACAAAAATAACAACAATAGTAACAGTTAACAATTACGTAGTGCTTACTACATGTCAAGCCCTTGTCAATTATCATTTCATTTGATCCTCACAACTACCCTGCAAAGTAGGTGGAATAATTATCTCCATTTTGCAGATGAGACAAACAGAGTTTAAGTGACTTGCCCAAGATCACACAAATCTGAGGTCAGAGTTGAACTCAGATCTTTCTGATTCCAGGTCTAGTGCTCTATCCACAGCACCACATAGGTGTCCAGATAGGAGTAAAAGCAATGGACTAATGGAGCAAAGAATAAATTTTAGCTGGGGAAGAATTTTCCAATAATTGTTGCTGTTCAGTCGTTTTGGTCATGTCTGACTCTTTGTGACCCCATTTGGGGTTTCCTTGGAGAAGATATTGGAGTGCTATTTCCTTCTCTACCAGTTTCCTTCTTCCAACAGGTACAGCTGACAAGAAGTGGAATGAGTTATTTTAGGAGGTAGTGAGGTCCCTATCACTGGAGGTTTTCAAGCAGAGGCTGAATGAATACATGATAAAAATGAGAAAGAGGGCATTTCTGCTCAGGTTCAAGTACAATATTAGATGACCTCTCAGGTCCCTTTCCACCCTGAAATTCTAGGACTCTACACATGCAGTTGACACTATTGATGCCTGGTCTCAGCAGAAAGGCAAGTATTTTGAATTGTTTTGCCAAGAGGTGTAACAGATCTGACCTAATTTATCTGTGTTCTCTTTCTTGCTCCCCACTGTCTACATTTATAACACAATGGGTGGGTGTTGGGATTTGTCAATAGTTATGAATCAGAGAGAAGTAAAAGTCCATGTAGGGATCAGAACTGCAACCTTTTTTGTTACGAGTCATTTTCAGTTGTGTGCAACTCTTCATGACCCCATTTGGAGTTTTCTCAGCAAAGATACTAGAGTGATTTGCCATTTTCTTCTCCAGCTCGTTTTATAGCTGAGGAAACTGAGGCAAACAGGGTTAAGTGATTTGCCCAGGGTCACACAGCTGGTAAGTGTATGAGGCTGGATTTAAACTTAGGTTTTTCTGACTCCAGGCCTGGCACTCTATCCACTGTGCCACCTAACTGCCCTCCTTATTGGCCTCATTATTTTAATAATATGCAAAGCTTAAAAGCCAAAAATATCCTAAATATCTTTTAAATCAAAACCAATTTAAATTATTCATTCTCTATTTGTGAATAACATACTAAGTCGATTCTTAATACTATTAGGGCATTTCCACGGGAAGCACAATTATAATCTAATCCAATAAACATTAAGTGCCTTCTATTTTTTAGGCATAGGGGGATACAAAGACAAAACAAGCTTATGCTCTACTGGGATCTTTTAGAGAGATTCTAACCTAGTTTGGAAAAGTCATTTAATTGGATGGATTTTTGTCCATCTGAAAGATGAAACTTTTAAGTGACAATAACAAGATGGTTGAAAGACCTAAATTAAGTCCCCAGGCGCTTTGGGGAGCTATCCTATGGGTGATTTAAGGAAGAATATGAATGAATCCCACAGGATGAAAAATACATGACTAGACTATGAGCTGCATTTTTGGAGGGATGAGGGCACAGATCTGTTGAAGTATTGATGTCTATCGATAGGGCCTTTGGAAGGCAAATTGCTAAGCACAAGGGCAAGAAATATAGTTTATACCTCGGTTGGCCAATAAGCATTTATTGAGCACCTACTGTGTGCCAGACAGCTGGGTGGTACAGTGGATAGTGTGCTGGGCCTGGAGTCAAGAAGACCTGAGTTCAAATCCAGCCTCAGACACTTATTGGTTGTGTGACCCTGGGCAAGTTGCTTAACCCTGCTTGTCTCGGTTTCCTCATTTGTAAATCAAATGGAGAGGAAAGGACAAACCAATCAAGTGTCTTGCCAAGAAAACCCCACACGGGGTCACAAAGAGTCATACGCAACTGAAATGACTAAACAACAATACTATGTTCCAAGTGCTATTGCTAAGCACTGGAGATACCAAAAAAGGCAAAAAATAGTCCCTGCTCTCAAGGAGCTCACCATCTGGTGAAGGAGATAATTTGCACAGAACTGCACACGATAAACTAAATACAAGATAAATAGGAAATAACCAACAGAGGACAGCATTAGAATTAAGAAGGATTTGCAAAGGCTTCTTGTAGAAGGTGGAATTTGTATCATCTTCTTAAAGCCACTACACCTGACTAAGAGGCTTTCTCATGTTTCGCCTATCACAAAAGCATTAATTATGGACCATTTCAAGAGACTGGGGTTTAGAGTTGGTGAAATAAAAAATATTCTAATTTCCTTTGTAAATCCACGGTGCCTAATTAATTGTCCTTTTGAATACTATGATATCACTCCACTTACCCTCATGGAATGTTCTAGCCTTGTGAGAACACATGTCACAACAAAATAGTGACACATGATGCTGAAGTTCAGGTTTAAAAATTTAAAGGGGAACGAAGTTTTAAAAAAATATATAACTGCTCCAATTTTATGCCACAACATTTCTTTAGAATGTTGTCATAATACTGATATAAGATTTGCAGCTACAGTTAAAATATATTGAAATGTAGATCCTCTTGAAAAAGAAGAGTTTGTAATATATTAGCAAAATACTGTAAGAACCCTACTAAATTATGTTGCCAGTTTCCTTCATTTTAAAAGTAATATTTTAATTAAGTAATATAAAAATCATATTTTATATTGTATAATAGTTTATATTTTATATAAAATTATCTATACAATTTATGTAAAACAATATATAATATATTTTGTATAAAATAATTCCACATAAAATAATTAATATTTTATATAAAATAAAAATTTATGTTTTATATAAAACATTAAAATAATTTATGTTTTATATAAGATAATAGTTAAATTTTTTAAGCAATTAAACCAACTAGAATGTGCTTTACTCCAGAAAAGAAAGAAAAATTTGAATGACTACCAGTTGAGGTATTGAAATTGATGCTGAAAAACTACAATATATAAATTCAATGGAATATTATCATGAGATAAAAAATTACGAATATGAAAAATTCAGGAAAGTGTGGAAAAATTTGTGTGAAATAATGTATGATGAAATAAGCTAAACCAACAGAATAATATATGCAGTGAATACAAAATATAAATGAAAAAATCAGTAAAAATAATATGAACTTTATGAACCAATGAAGGACCTGTGGAAGATTTAATAATATATTCCTTTTTTTTCTCATAGCTGAGAGATGAGGGCCTTTTAGAGCAGGATGCTATGTACACTAGGGTTCTCTATGGGATATTTTAGTTTAATTTTTGAGGAGTTTAATAAGGTGTATAGACACGGAAAGTGACTGATATTAAGGCAAAAATCACCAATGATTTTTTTTTAATTGAAGATACAATACCTGGAATAAAATGTAACTTAAAATGAAAAAAAATAAGTTTGCATTATATATTTTTAAACTTTAATTTGGAGAATTTTAGAAGCCAGTTTATTGAGTTTATTGCTTAGGCTGTCATGAGCAGCAATGACACATTTAATATTCTGGAATTCCATACACTCACCAGGGCGTTCATCCAGTGAATAGAAGTCTTCTCTAGTTTTATTGAATGCCATTTCAAATCTTTCTATTTCAATCTGCTGAGCTGGTGTTTTTTGGTCACAACCTCTGGCACCATTATTTTATACAGATGAAGTTAAAATTAACATCAAGGCAAGCTTGGCCCCAAAAAAGAGATATAAGAAGATATTTCTCTCCACTGCTTTGCAGAAGTAGTGGAGTTGGGAGAGGGGGAGGAGGCCACAAGTGTTGAAGAGTAAATATATTGTCAGAATTTTTTTTTAATATATTGATTGGCTTTGTTGATTTCCTCCCCCTTTTTATTTTTTTAAAAGAAATATTCTTTGTAATAAGGAATGGCTGCATATAGGATGAGGAAGAAGAGATACAGGGGGAAATCTAGGTTATGTAGAAATAGAAGATAGCAGTAAGAAAATTTTAGTTTAAAAAAAATGAACATCAAGGGCAGTTTTGGAGGGAGAAGAAGTCTGAAAAGAGTAACGTGGGGCTTGAATGGGAGCATGCAGTCTTACACACTTTACTTTAGTGTAGGTAACCATTTCACTGAGTGTATGTGTCAATGTGTGTTTATCATGAGATGGTTTAGCTACCTCTTTCTCCCATCCTCAAATCGCTTCTTCCTTCCCCAGTCATTTCCTGGCAGCTAAATGCTGCCCAATGCACAGGGTATGAGGAGGTGGCCATAAACTGTCATATCCTTGGGATGACTGTATTTCCAGCTACTAGAGTCCTTTGTCTCATGACCATAAACTGTATTAGCATAATGCCCATTCTGAGTGCCCACACATCACATATATTTTCTGCATTTGTTTACATATTTATTACATGTATGCTTTTACATGTAAATAAATATAGAAAATATACATTTGTATGTATTTTTTGGAAATAAGAAACTCTACTTAAGATGACTAGATACTTAAATGGATTTGTGGTCTCATCAATATGAGTTTTCCGTCCATTAATGCAGATTGCTATGCAAACATGTCATTCTTGCTTATAATTAGATCAAACTAAGACACTTATCCTGGTTACTTCTTCGGGGTCTTTGGGATGAGGGAGAATGAAGGGTCTCTTTACACTCTGTTACAGGGAGTGTATTCAAATGATAAATTAAAAGGTACCAATAAGAGATATCAATGACAGATGGGACAGAAAATGGCAATAGAGATGGACCATTCTGCCAGGTGAAGTAACAAGAAATAATACTTTTCTGACTGACTACCTAGACACCAGTGTATTCTTCTCTCCCTTTTACATAGACTCCAGATTAGGTAATGTGTAATGGCACAGGATTTCTGATTTCATCATGGGGAAGATCTATAGCATGGATTCTTGGTTACCCCGGGATTAGAGGGTCTGATACCTTTAAGAATAGCAAACAACACCATTCTAGTGGCCAGGGGTGGGGAACGAAGTTTAGATTCAGTCAAAGGTCACACTTGAGGACCTAGCAGGCCACCTGTGGCCTCAAGGCCGCAGGTTCCCCACCCTTGTTAGCCCAACAGATCAACAATTTATTGTAACACAATCATTACCTGTTGGATGATTGTGGGTCATTCGCCCACACTCAATGCTCACTTCAATGAGTGTCTCCAATCTCTCAGGCTTCCAATATCTCATACCGATGGACATGGCTTTGGTGGCAGCTCCAAATCCTGAACCTACATAAAAATGTCATTAAAAGGTCTTAAGCATTCGTGTTGCCTTTTATTGTCACAATCTTTGCCTTTACAGCTTTGACTGTTCAAATCCCACCTTTGTTTCCAAGCACAGGCAAAAGGCTATTTTAGCTCCTTCATGACCCTTTCTAAAAGAAGTATTCTCTCTGTCCTCTGAACTTTGACATCCCTTCTTCCACCTCCCACATCTCCTTGTGCTCTCAAAGTCTGTCTTGATTTATACATGTTTGTTGAATTGGATCTGTGCACATCTTGCTAAATTCTAAGCTCCATGAGTACAGGCACAGCATCATCTGTGTGTTTTCCATTGTACCTTGCACTGTGCCTTGCCCATTTGCAGGCTCTCAGTCAGGAGTATGCCAGAGCAAACTTTAGCTTTAATTTTCAATGTGAGCATTTATGCCTCAGAAATCAGCAGCTGCTACAAATTAGGACTTGATTTATTGTTTATTGATCAGCTAGACTTAAGAAAATGTTAATAATGCAGAATAAACTTAAAAGTGTGTGAATAATACATTTCTCCCCAGAGCCCAGTTGTTAAGGGAAGCTAAGTGGCACAATGGATAGAGTGCTGGGCTTACAGTCAGGAAGACTCATCTCCCTGAGTTCAAATCTGGCCTTAGACACTTACTAGCTGTGTGACCCTAGTCAAGTCACTTAACTCTGTTTGCCTCAGTTTCCTCATTTGTCAAATAAGCTGGAGAAGGAAACGGCAAACCCTTCCAGTGTCTTTGTCAAGAAAATCCCAAATGGGGTCACAAAGAGTCAGGCATTGAATAACTACAACCAGGTGTTAAACATTTACCAACACACCCCTGTATCGCTCTATAAATACAGCTTGAACTCAGCAGGAGCAAAGAACAAGACTCAGAGAATGAATCATCACAAGACTAGAGGCCTGGTGACTGCAGGATGATGATGATGATGACGATGACATAACTGGCATTTATATAGAGTTTTAAGGTTTGCAAAATATTTTTACATCCTTTACCTCATTTGAGCCTTGCAACATCCCAGTGCTTAAGCAAATATCTGTTAAAGTTAGTTGAACGAGAATTCATTTATTTGTCCTGAACTTGGGAAACATAAGAACTTAGGAATCTCATTTCAAATGGCTCTGAAGCTATGATTCCAATATACATTTCAGTCATATACCCTGAAGAAGACCTTTAGGCTGTGTGTCTGTGATTGTGTGCTTAGCACCACAGGGTCAAGTCACATCCCCTCCCTGTTGTCCTGCTTAGCGTGGTATAGTGGAAAAAGCACTGGGTTAGGAACCAGAGGAGTTTCTAGTTCTGCCACTACTAGGTACATCATTTAATTTCTCTGAGATTCAATTTCCTTATCTATGTGATGGGAACTACTATAACTACACAATAATAACAACAGGACAACTTATATTGTTATCTAATTATATGGTTTACAAAATACTTTAAGGTTTTTTCTGAGGATCAAATGAGATGATATAGTATTTGCTTCATGGATTTTCTGTTCCAGTCAAACTGTTTTGGTTCTTGGGCCCCATTTTCTGTCTCTAGAATGCGTTTCCTCCTTACCTCTGCCATACAGAATTCCTAGATTCCCTCAAGACACAGCTCATGTCTTTTTTGCACAACTCCTACAGGAGGCCTTTTTCCATGTCTTTGTATTCTCTGCGCAGTGATTGGCATATAGAAATGCTTGACAAATGCTTCTTAAAATTGAATAAAAGTGCTTTGAAAACTATAAAAATAACAAATTAAAAGTACTGTTGACTATATTATTAGCAACTAGTAAGTTGATAATGAAGCAGCTAGATTTCTCAGTGGATAGAGCATTGGGTCTGGAATCAGGAAGACGTGAGTTTAAATCCAGCCTCAGACAGGCACTAGTGGCGTGACCCTGGGCAAGTCATTTAACCTCTGTTCACCTTAATCCACTGGAGAAGGAAATGGCAAACCACTCCAGTATCTTTGCCAAGAAAACCCCATGCAGGATCACAAAGAGTAGGACACTATTGAACAACAACAAAGTTGATCATAGAAATTGTAGGTGTCCATAATGGTTTCTTTTCCCATGTAATTATTATTAATAGGTATAGTTAATATTCATTCTTTCTTGAGTTCTAAGTAGTTTTTCTGACCTTGCTGCTGGAATCAAGCAGACATGAAAAAAAATTAATCTGAGTGAATTGGATATGGAAATAACTTTAGGGAAAACATTTCAATTGCTTTTTATAGGTTATTTATTCTAAAGAGTCTAATGGAAATCACACTGAACTGGAGTAAAAGGAATCTAAATTATGAGTTTAGTGCCACTACCATGACTAATTGATCTAGAGAGACCCCCAATGAATGCTGGACTTGAAGTACAGGAAGACATGGGACAGCTAGGTGGCACAGTGGGTAAAGCACTGGCCCTGGAGTCAGGAGGACCTGAGTTCAAATTCAACCTCAGATATTTACTAGCTGTGTGACCCCAGGCAAGTCACTTAACCCTGATTGCCTAAAAAAAAAAAAGTATGGGAAGACCTGTCCTTATCAACTGATTCCTTTCCTACTGCTTTCAAACATGCTCAAGTTAAGAAAAAAATACCCTTCATTAGACCCTACCATCCCCTCAACTATCACCCTATACTACTTGTTCACTTGTCAGCCAAACTCCTTTAAAAAATTTATCTACACTCACCTCTTATCCTCTCATTCTTTATCCCTTTTCAATATGGCATCTGACTTCATTACTTAAAACTGCTCTCTTCCAAGTTACTAATGACCTTTTAGTTGCCAGGTCTGATGGTCTTCTTTCAATCCTAATTATTCTTAGCCTCTGATGAATTTGACACAGTTAACTACCTTTTCCTCATTCTCTCCTCTCTGGGTTTTTGTAACACTATTCTCTCCAGCTTTGTCTCCAACTTACCTGATTACTCCTTTCCTGAACCATTCATTATCCACATCCTACACCTTAACTCTGGGTGTAACTCAGTGTTCTGTCATTGGCCTCTTTTTCTTCTCCCTCTATATGTGGGGATCTTAAATATTTTGTGTGTGTCATGGATCCTTGGCAGTCTGGTAAAGCCTCAGAGTATTTTTAAATGCACAAAATAAAATGCATACATTACAAATTTTATTGAAATATAATTATCAAAAAATGTTTTAAAGTTCATAGACCCCAGGGATAGGTCGGGGAGTTTGAGTAGGAAAGTAGTGTGGCATAAAGCTAAAGAGGTAGGTAAAAGGTAAATTATGGTAGGCCTTGAATGTTAGAATAAGGAATTTGGATTTTATCCTATACATAAATAGGAACCTTGTATTTGGCTTTCTGTTTTCTTCATGGAACTGTTTACTTCTGTGTAATCCACAGGCTAGTTCTCTATCACTTATTTATCTCATGTATTTTCTCAAATCTTGGAAGTGACTCTCTTCTTCCTTGATTTAATTCCTATTTTTAGTACTGTGAGATTGGGGTGTCTACTGCCACCCTCAATTACTGACAGAAAGCCCAGACATCTTGATCACATTAAGAAATCGAAAGTATAAACTAGGTGTGAACAAATCATTAATCTATTTGAGAAGAATAATTTGCCTTGATCATTGAATAAAGAGAGATGGCCCACATATCTTGTGATTGGCTGAAAAAAAAATCAGACACTCCTCTGAAACTATGTATAGCATAGCAAGCCAATTTGGAATTCTGCAGTCCAGCAGTAAGTCAGTAGAATGATATTCAAATCTAATGATGAAATACTCTTGAAAGGGAATTGTACTTGGCAGGGGAAGGGGGAGATACAAAGAGAGGAGAGAGTCCTTCCCCAACCCCACCCCCTGTCTTCTCTGTCTCTGTCTGTCTCTCTGTCTCTCTCTCTGTCCCTCTCTCTGTCCCTCTCTGTCTCTCTCTGTCTCTGTCTCTGTCTGTGTCTCTTTCTCTTTGTCTGTCTGTCTCTGTCTCTCTCTCACCTCATAAGCTCTCATGGGTTCAGCTATCATTTCTATTTAGATAATTCCATGATCCACAAATCTAGCTCCAGTCTCTCCTCTGAACTTCAGTTCTACATCACTAATTACCTATTGGGCATTTCAAACTGTGTATCTCTGTATTCCCTTATGGGTCAGAGGGATTCTGGACATGTGGTTTGAATATCCCTATGTTATACTGTATTGTGAAAACTATGATAAAGTTCTGAGGCAGGTTTTAGAGAGTTGAATGACTCCCTTCTATAGCTTGGGGACATATATGTAGAAGTTGGTACAAACTTTATCTCCCTCATGTATTGGGATGTGAAGTTTCTATATTAATAGGCTCAGAGCTACCTGTCAAGTTCAAGGTAAACTGAGAATATAGCTACTGTTGGCTCATCTTTTCATCTATAACTCATAAAATAATATCCAAATACAATTATAGGGAGGAACTAACTTGGTAAACTATGGCTTGTCAAGGATATCCACAATTATAGCTCTATTTTATGTGTGAAAATTCCTGGGATCTTCCAAGGAGCATTACTTCAAAAATCTTATTTTTTTAACTGAGGGGCTATAAGTGATTCCAGAATAGAAATTATCTTATAAATTGATAATGAGGTACTTAAGTGGTACCTTATTCTAGAGCACCTGCCCTAGAATAAGGAAGAGCTGAGTTTAAAGCCAGTCTCAGATACTTACTAGCTGTGTGACCCTGGGCAAGTCACTTGATCTCAGTTTGACTCAGTTTTCTCAACTATAAAATGGGGATAATAAAAGCATCTACTTCCTAGGGTTGTTACAAGTACAAAATGAGATAATTATTGTAAAATGTTTAGCAGGTTACCTGGCACATAGTAAATGCTATCTAAATATTAGCTGTTGTTATTATTGCTGCTGTTGTAGTAGTTGTTATAACATTCATGTAATATCGGATTTGACCAGCACAAATCTTGTCACTTTAGAATTGAGAAACTGAAGTTGGTTAAGAGACTTTCCTCAAATCGAGCTAACGACACTAATTCAATAGGTATTAATAACTGTCTT